ATTCAATCATCAAATCAAATGTGATTTGAATTTTCAATTGTAAGCACTTTTCTCTCTCTCTCTCTCTCATCTTTCTCTTTAATAGTGAATAAGAAGAAGAAACCAAATAAATAATGTATAAATGTTTGCCTCGTTTTTAATGCCATGTACTCTACTCTACAGTATGTCTATCGAAACCCCGGTGCTAGGAAATAGTAATAACAAAATTTTTAAAACATAAAATGTGTTTTTGTGTTTTTGAATAGCACTCAATATGAATTATAAATACATGACGATTGTAATAAAAATATATGCAATTTGTTTCTCGGATAATGTATTCACAAATTTGAATATGATAAAAAATTAATTATAGATGAATTTAGGACTAATAAGTAAATGGAAATAATTATGTTCTAGATTAATATGTTTTAATAATAAAAGAAATATTTAATTTGTAATTTGTAGGTTATATTTTTCTATATTACATATTTTAATACTGATATGTTATGTTTTCATTATAAACCAAATTAAATATACATTAAAATGGATCACAATCTTAAAGTACATTAATGCTACTTTTAAAATATATTAAAATATAAAGTTTGAATTTAATTTTTGAATTATTTATAAATTCACTTGCAAAGAGCACCGGTTTATTTACATTATAGTTGAGTGCATTATTTAGACCATAAAAAGCAATATTTAATTGGATTTGCGTTCAAAATAAAAATTTTAATATTTATTAAATAAAAAAGACTAAAAATATAAATGAAAAATATAAACTTTTGAACAAATATTTCTCACTATTATATTTGTTTTATCACTTTTTGTTATTTGTTTGCTATTTTGCATATAAATCAAAGTTTCTCTCTCTCTCTCTCTCTCTCTCTCTCTCTCCAACTCATAATCAAAAATAATGTAAAAAACGTAAAGAATTTTTTCTCTCAATTCATAAATTATATTAAATAAGAATTTTGTCTTTTTTCTCATTCATTCAATCATCAAATCAAATGTGATTTGAATTTTCAATTGTAAGCACTTTTCTCTCTCTCTTCTCCCTCTTTGTCGCTAAATATAAGTAAATATTTTTGAGGCAAAAAATATTATACTTCTCGACAAATATTGAGCCGCTTTTCTAGCCATACATTCACCGAAAATGTATGCGAAGTATAGTTCAATGATTTTTATGGGGTTTCGAGGTTTTTCTCTGTCGTGAAGTTTGTGACATAAAAATGTGGGAAATGTTTATTAGTTTTGTGTTGAATTTTATTAAAAATTTTCAAATTCTTTTGGTTATTAAAATATCGATTGAATAAATATATTTAACCTTTTATAAGACTTTCTAAATCTTAGGGCCAGTTATACACAAATATTGGCCTTTAAATCGCTATCAAATATTATAGTTGTAAATTTTATTACTGTAGAAATTAGTTATACTGTAATTAAATAACTTTTATTATTAGATAAGATATTTGTTAATTAAATGAAATTAATTTTTTTAATTTTATAACTTTTAGCATTGCAAAAGTTATTTAATGCAAATCATTTGTTATAAAGTATATTTTGCTGTATATTTAAGTAAATCTTATTTATATATTGTTCATGAAGTGAGAAATGAATAATATTACTGTAAATTACTCTGTGATAGGATTATAATTTTTGTCTTATAGTACCGTATATTGTATTATGAAATGTTTGACAATATTTTCATTGAGAAAAGATTTTTCTTTTAATATGTCATTCAATATTACACATAAGACTTGACTTATATTTAATTAACTTTTTCATTTTCTTATGTAGTCCTGTATACACATTATATTAAAAATATAACTTATGTATAAATTTACCGTTATCTTATTTGTTCAAAAATATCCATTTGTTTTATAAAATTGAATTTATTATTCCAACATTTAATAAACAATTTAAAAATTAATTTTACTTAAATAATGAAACTTAACTGTGTTTTGATAAAAAGATGCAATAATATAAAATAAAATATTGTAGTCTCAAGTAACATTTAAATTACAAATAGATTTAAGGATTATATTTCTAAACATCACTTATTTAAAGGATTAGTATTAAATTTGAAAGTATTATACAAGTTTTATACTAATGTTAATTGACATGCTTTTTATAAATGAATTCATAAATTATTTTAAGTTAACACTGTAATTTAATATATGAATTTTCATTAATTTTACTACTGTTATATTGATTTTTATAATAATTTAAGAATTTACCACAAGGTACCGTTATGACCACAGTGAATAACTCTCACATTAGCAAGGTTAAAACGTTAATAAGTTACAATTAATTATTTTACCAAAATAACAAATGTTGGTATTATTATATTTATGTATTTGCCTAGAAAAATACAAATCATAACTGATAATTATAACATGTACCATTACACTATTTTATAACACCTGATTAATATATTAATTATTTTGTGTTAAATGTATGCTACAGATTATTAAAATACTGCAAATATAAGACGGTAAGTTTATATTCAATGACATTTTTCTTATTATTGACTTGCAACATTTTGTTTATTTTATTTTGAATTAAAATTGCACAATTAGACTATTATGAACTGTATATTTTTATTATCATATAGATATCAGGATTATCTCTAGTTTATCCAATAGGTTGTAAATATTGACGATTATAATTTTGAATTTTATTTGAGATAGATTCTTTTAATACTTTAATACATCAATTTAAAAATTAATACAATACAACATTATTACGAATACATGTATTATGTGAATATAACTAAATATAAGTATTACATGAAAAATGGCATTAAAATATAAGGGAAAGACATTTCTGGAAAGAGGGATAAAATGAGAGGGAAAGGATGTTAACGGGAGGGAAGGCATGAATTTTGAATAATAGAAATGTTATCATTAAAGCGAATGCAATAAAAATGATAACAAAACAAAGTTTTAAGTGAATATTTACACTATTTTTCAAATCCTAGTCTATTGTGTGTTTTGCGCGAAAGCCATGAATATTATATAACATTATATATGACTCCGTCGAGAGTGAGACAACAGAATATTCTGTGATATTCTGAGGAATATTCTTATGACACAAAAGACGAGAATAGAAATTATTATTGTTTTCTATGTTGAGTGGAAAGGGATCTGTCGGTTGCTTTTAATAGTTATGTTTTATTATAATAACAAAAAACACAATAACTATACTAATAATGCATTGCTCTTATCTACAGTATATTTTTTCGGTTACAAATAATCTCAACACAATTGGGTTTGAAATTCTATACCAGAATTGCGGAATATTCTGTATATTCTATCCATTATTTGTTTATTGAGTTATTATGTTGTATTGGATATAAAATTGAATGATACAAATGTGTCGCGTCGGCGAGTTATAATGTTATAAGATAGTGATAAAATGTACTAGTATATATTAATTTATAAGTAATATTTAATTAATTTTTAGTTTATTATAAAATAATTAATACCAATTTTATTTTGATTTTTTAGTTCACAAATAAATTAATATAATAATAATAAAGTATAATTATATGTTTATAACTGTTAATCTTGGTATATTTAATAAGATATTGCACAGAATTTGTATATTAGTTGCAATAACTATAATTACTAATCTAAAAGCAAACACAAACATAATAAAAACAAAATCAATACAATTTGTGTTTTTGCTAATGAGTTGCTATTTCTGTTATTTTTCTGAATATTAGTATTGATTATAAATTCTGTGCTAAACATCAGTACTCTGTATGTAATACTCCATCGATTGCCAGCTATTAGTGATTGAATGTATTTACTACACATCCCGAAGTTGACTGAGTTTTTCAGTGTTTGTTATATAACGAGATATTATTGATTTGACTATAAAATCATCGTATATTCTATGCATGCATTTTGTGACCACTGTTTATCAGGATTATTAATATTACACTTGAGATTAGAGTGAGATTTTCAATTAAACTCAAACACAACAAAATACTGTACATTATCTTTATATCCATTGTAATGAACGTAATATTAATCGGTTTTTATCGCAAAATATTTGTGCATGCTTCAATCAACTTTCATTGGGATTTTTGCACTCATTTTAAACTTAAAATGCATTTAAAAAGTAATGGTTTGGCAAAGAGTGCAACGAAATAGCGATTTGCATACAAATTGATATTTTTTGTCAAATTTATTTTTACTTTTTTTGTTAATAATGAAAGTTTTGACTTAAAATATATTTAATAAAATTTACATAATGCTCTCTCTCTCTCTCTCTCTCTCTCAAAAATTTCATAGAATTTAATTTCCATAAAAATAAATTAAAAATCATTATTATTTTTTATTTTCCAATGATTTTCAATATATTAGAGGCATTAAAGAAAATGCCACATTTCAACCCTACTTTGCAATGCTTAGAAAATACTGTTTTAAAAACAAATAGATTAATATGAAAGCATAAATGAAATGTGGATTTTGTTTTAATTTCTCTCATATCTCATATCCATTTGTGGCGATATTGGGGGGTCAGGTGTTTGCATAGAAGTGAGTGGTGGAGCTATGGCATTGAGTTTCTGATAAATGGTTGCATAATAGGAGATAATATTTAGCACTTCTTGGAAACTTCTGGGAACTGCATGTCTGGATACCAGGATATCGACAAACACTAAATTTGAACATTTCAAAAAGTTTAAAATAAAACTATAAAATAATAAAATAAAATAAAAATATATAGTACTTATATTTCAGTACTATGGAGCTGGAAGGAAAGGTAGCTTTAATTACAGGTATTCAAAGACATTCAAATATTAAATATGACCAGGACAATTAATTCAGGTTTTTAAATATAAGGGTCGGCTTCGGGTATCGGCAAAGAGATTGCCCTCAAGTTGTCGGCATTGGGCGCCGATGTGGTCATCACTGATATCAATAGGGATGGCATCCAAGAAGTGGTCCAAAAATGTCGTTCCCTTTACAAACACAAAGCGCTGGGAGTTTACGCCGACATAACCAGTGAGAGTGATGTGAAGAATTTGGTGGACAAGACTGTCGAGGAATATGAAAGAATCGATATTCTGGTGAATTGTGCCGGAATAGTATTCCAGTCGGACTTTTATGACCCCGAATATATTAAGCTGTTTGACAAAGTGATGAACATTAATGTCCGGAGTATTCAAGTATTGACTCAATTAGTGGTTCCATATCTCGAGAGTACTAAAGGAAATATAGTTAACATCTCGAGTGTCTGTGCCGTTGTACCGGTATATCACTTCATTATATATACTTTTATCTGGAGTATAGATTCTATACTAATGTATAATATATTATATAATTTGTATAATTCTTAAAAATATAATTGACATGTTTAGGTACCAACGGAAATGGCTTATTGTATGTCCAAAAGTGCAATCAATATGTTTACCAAATGTCTGGCCCGACAGTTAGGACCCAAAGGGGTTCGTGTGAATAGTGTTAAGTATGTATTGAATTCAATGATTAGACACAGTATCTGGATTAATTGATCATAAAATAGCCCTGGTACAGTTCGGAGCCCACTATTGGGTGAGAGGGCCGAGTATATGGTGAAGGCCTGTCATGATAATTATCCGCTGCAACGTATTGGGGAAACGGTAGACATAGCCGAGAGCGTGGCATTCCTGGTCAGTGATAAGGCATCATTTATTACAGGAATAAATATGCCGGTTGATGGTGGGCATGCACTGATAGGCAGACTATCAATATGAATATCAGTAAATTTAATATTACAATTAAAAGGTTTTCAATTTCAAGCTAACTTCAATTAGTTTCATTTAATTTATTTTTCTTTTATAATTGTAATTCAATATTAATAAAACATTTATGTATCAAGGTATATCAATTTTTATTTGTAATAATATTTATTATACTAAATAAATTTGATATTTCAATTTGAACTCAATAGTTTTAAAAAGTAAATGTCTATTATATTAAATTAATCACATTCAAGATTAAACACATGTTATCTGTTTATACATTTATGTGCTTGATACAAAACTATTTGTTTAACTATCAGTAACATATGTTTAAAATTATTTTAATTTAACAAAACATTTATTTGTTTTATGTTTAATATAAGTTATAGAATTATATGAGTATATAATACGAAATGCAAATTGTAAAATAGACTAAACTAATTGACTTACTTTTAGTAGTCATTATAATTCAAGTCTATATTATAAAATGTCTATATTCAAGATTAAACACATGTTGTGGTTATTGATTTATATGCTACATGAATCCCATAAAAATTTTGTAATACATTCTTAATATTATTTGATTTTGAAAAAACATTTATTTTTGTGTTCATTTATCTAAATACGAATGAGAATTGATAGATTTACCCAAACCAATAAAGTTTGATAAGTATTTTGTATTTTTACTTGATACTATTTATTAATGTGATTTGAACACAGACAATCTATACATTATAGACAATTGTTTCTGAATTGTAATTTTTTGTTTATGAGAATAATATCAGGTTATTTGAATTTTATCATTCAAACATTTCACTCATAAACAAATAAACTCTTTTTTCAATTGCATGTAATATTTAATTTTACTTATGCTATATCATACTTAAAAACATTATATTTTTGTTTAAAAATGATTTTTAATATTTTTAACAGTGATCATATATGCAATCAACATGATAAATCAGTATTTTAAATGATTTTACTTTTAAAATATATATTTCATAGTTATTTCATTAGTAAGTTTCAATGGAGTTGGCAGGAAAGGTAGCATTAATTACAGGTATACTAAATAATATGAAAAGTACCTTAAAATTCATACAAGTTTTCAAATATAAGGGTCGGCTTCGGGTATCGGCAAAGAGATTGCCCTCAAGTTGTCGTCTTTGGGCGCCGATGTGGTCATCACTGATATCAATAGGGATGGCATCCAAGAAGTGGTCCAAAAATGTCGTTCCCTTCACAAACACAAAGCGCTTGGAGTTTACGCCGACATTACCAGTGAGAGTGATGTGAAGAATTTGGTGGACAAGACTGTTGAGGAATATGAAAGGATCGATATTCTGGTGAATTGTGCCGGAATATGTCCCAAATCATACTTTCATGACCCGGATTATGTCGAAGTTTTTGACAAAGTGATGAATACCAATGTCCGTAGTGTCCAAGTATTGACTCAATTAGTGGTCCCATATCTCGAGACTACTAAAGGAAATATAGTTAACATCTCGAGTGTCTGTGCTGTTGTACCGGTATATCACTTCAATTCAAATAAAGTGAGCTGGATATTAATTTTTTCTTATATTTAGATACCAATGACAATGGCGTACTGTATGTCCAAAAGTGCAATCAATATGTTTACTAAATGTTTGGCAATGCATTTGGGACCCAAAGGTGTTCGTGTGAATAGTATCAAGTAAATATTATAATAAATTTATATACCATGAGTGAGCTTTATTTGATTTTTCAATTATTTATGATAATGAAAATAGTCCTGGTTCAGTACTGACCCCACTATTGGGTGAGAAGGCCCAGTATATGGTGAAGGCTTGTGAGAATAACTACCCCCTCAGACGTATTGGGGAAACGGTAGACATAGCCGAGAGCGTGGCATTCCTGGTCAGTGATAAGGCATCATTTATTACCGGGATTAATATGCCGGTTGATGGTGGTGCCGCACTCATTATGAGACTTTATTAAATTTGAAACTTTTATTTAAAATTTGTTTTATAATATAAATTATATTATATAATAGTTTTCAAAATACTTGTAACAACAACTTATATCTTTTATTAATGTAATCCAGTTAATTTTCAATTTTAAATAAATTAACCAAGATAATTGTTATCATACTTTTCTCTGATGATGTTGTAAAGGTAAATGTTAGCTATATGATAGGTAATTAATTGTATGTTAACTTATAAGCCAATAATTATGATTTTAATTTTTTTTATAAATGTTAATCCAAGATAATAATATTATTTAAATAACAATTTACAATTTCATGCTTTAGTTTCAAATGACATTTCAATGAATAGCTTATATTTATTACATATTTCTATATGTTTTATGTCTGGCTTTTGATTGTCTATTCATAACTTTTTATACTATTTTTGTTTATATTTTCTCCCAAAAAATGTTTAATAAAAGGGAAAATGATTTTGGTCTTTACTTTAAAAACACAAATTTATTATTTATTTTTTTATAGTTTTAAAACATATTTCTCTTTGCGTCTCAAACCATAACTTTAAAACTTAATGACTTGTAAAGCCCTGGCATTCACCGAAAAGCCTTTATTTTATGGTATATTAAGTCAAAAAATCT